ATAGTCATAATATACAATTCTTGTAAGACATCATTTTGTTTGAGTCCAAAGCAACATAGTCTTCCCCTATCTCTCCTTCCACAATCTTCAATTGCACCTTAGATTGATCAACATCGGTCCCAATTTTTCATTTATATGCTCTTATTCCATAAATATGCCTATCAATAATGGTAAATATTTTAGCACCAACAAAATAATGATTTGAAATTTCAAGGAAAAAATATATTTGTCTATGATCATTTGTTTTACAAAAATGTTTAGCAAATAAAAAAAATACAAAGTAAACAAAGGAGTAAGCATCGTACTCACATAGTTGTATCATTTTTTCATGACAATTTTTTAACTATTAAGTTAATTATTGCAAAAAAAATTTGCTACTCGAAACATAATATTTATTAAGTTATTATATTTTATTTGAAATTACTTCCTATGTATAAAAGATTACTATTGCTTCAACAAGTTTCAACATGATCGTGAAAAATACTTATAATTAACTATAAAATTGTATTATAGCAAAAAATCTATGATTATATTTTTAATATCCCACGACTTTTATAGCTTGAAAAAAAAAACATTTAGCTACAATTTTTTCTTCAAATAAGTTACTGTGGCTGAAAGGTTATTATTACTATGATAAATTCAAACTTGTGGCAAAAAATAATTATCAGCTATGAATTTTTATTATAGAAGAAAATGTATGTCTATTCCGTTTAATTATTGCCATAATATTTATAACTTAAAGCTAAATTATTTGTTTTTCTACAAATATTTCTTCAAATAAGTTAGTGTGGCTAAAATGTTATTATTACTACGGTAAATTAAAATTCATGGCAAAAAATAGTAATTAGTTACGAAATTTTACTATAGCAAAACTCTATGGCTATACCATTTAACTATTGCCACATCTTTTTATAACTTGAAGCTAAATTATTTATTTAGCCACAATATTTTGTTTCAAATAACTTATTATGGCTAAAGAGTTGCTATTTCTACAATTATTTTTATTGGGTAGCAAAAAAGTTATAATTAGCTACAGAATTTTATTGTAGCAATAAAATTGTAGCTATTTAGATAATTATTGTCATGATTGTTAGCGATTATAGCAAATACAAGGATTTAGCTTTGTAAACTTAATATTCGTGGATAAGAAATTTGATGAATTTTTAAATAGCCACGAAATTTGAATTTTTATGGCTATTACTAGGTAATAGCTACGATTTTCAAATTCATAGCTTAGATTTCGTAGCAATAAGTATATTTTCTTGTAGTGGTTTTCGACAGCTTTTAAGTTGGGTTTCTTTTGTCTTTTCTCACTTTTCCTAAGCCCAAGACATGACGTTTTAACTTCAATTAGGGGAATATATTCCACCAAGTACTCAATTTTCTTTTATTTCTACGCTCTCAACTCCCAACTCAAAAAGAAAACCCCAAGGATAGCAAAAGCTAGAGTTTCAAGGCTTCCAATCAAATTCTTTTTCAAACTTCTTCAAGAACTTTGTTCTTCCAGGTATGTAAGACTTCAATGAGAGTATTCATTTCTTTCTCATGTCTAAAGTATTATGATTATAAGATAAATTATGTATAAATCTAGGATTTTACCCAATCTTATTCAAGCTATGATTTTTATGCAGAAATTAGAGTTTTATGAAAGATTTCTCATGCATATCAATGAATTACTATGAACTACATATTTTATTATATAATTATGATTCTCCAAACATGTGTCAAAATTATTTATGAAGCTGTGAAAGCTACTGTTGAGTATTTACATGTTATTCATGATTTCAAATAAGTTGTCTCATGTTTAAATTCATACGCATAGAAGTAAGATATGTTTATGAAAGAGATATTTTGAGCATTGCCTCACAACATCACGATTCATGATTAGTATGACAGTCGGGTATGCCATCAATATTTAAGTAGTATGACATCTAGATATGTCATTCATGTTTACGCAGTATGACTTCACGAGTCATCAATGATCAAATCACAATATGATTTTCGATATAGTTTTCATGATTACAGCCTAAATACAAGTTATTTTAAGAGTTTTGAGGGTATTTTAAATGATCCCAAATGTATTATTTTACATTGAGAAAGAAAATACTATTTTAAGAAAAACATAAAGAGTATTCAGAGGCATTTCAAACAGATAAAGTTGAATTATCCCTTAAAGAGGGTCTTTTTTAGTATTATCTCAACTCAGATGTTATATGAGCATATTGATATTGATTATTTTGCGAGTAGTATTGAGCACCGAATTGAGTAAGAGTTCATTTTAAATATCAAGCCCCATAAACTACATAGCCACTGTAGGATAGGATCGTACCGACTTTTGGGTGACTCCTCACTGCCTCAAGAAGGCTTATTGGATGGATCCATAGTAATAGTTAGCATCATTTACCCCGACAAAGTATAGGATGGCTCTGACAACGTTGGTAGAACGTTGTATCTCGCTAGGCTCATAGTGATGGTTGTCGATTAGATAAACTCACCAACAGAGTAAAGTTTATTATTTTCACATTGCTTTTAGTGCATATTTTATTGTAAACTACAAATGGTTTTCACTACTTGTTCATATCTTGTTTCACTTGAGTTATATTCAATCATATGTTCAGCTGTTGTTTTATTCGGTCATATTGTATACTCATACATTCAACGTACTGATGTCATTCAACCTGGATCATTTCATGAAGCAATTTCAGGTACTTAGGATCATCAACAGACGTTTCGTTGAGATCACATCATCTACTCGTCAGCTTCTGGTGTAACCTCCTTGCTTTCGGAGGACTCCATTTTTGCTGATTTATAGTAATAGGGTTTTGAGGTGTCGTTAGTCTTGTCTCAACACCGATCTTTAGATAGTAGAGGCTTCATGGACAGAAAGAGTTGGACGGTTTTCAGATTTTTTCTCAGATGTTTTATTAAACACTTACTATTTATACTAAGTATTTTCAGACGTTGTTTTAAAATTTCTTTAAATGTTTAAATACTCATCTATTAAAGTTTCCGCGTATCTTATTGAGTCATATGTACCATAGTTAGCTTGATCAAGGGTTCGCTTGGGACCACTAATGGTTTTGAGTGTCGGTCACGTCCAGGGTGAAGGAAACATAACAAATAATTAAAGGAAACAGTTTCATTAACAAAATAGTCTAATAACCGAAAACATTACTAACTTCGGTGTAAACAGATATAGTAAACCAAAGCTTGAGTAAATACTCATTGGTAGAGAGAGTAGCCAAATCAACACACATATCCTTGTGTATGTTTCAGAAGAAAGTATAATAATTCATAAATATCAGGCATAGTTACTCTATTTATCAAACCTAACACATATGACTTTTAACTTGATATTAATCCAGCTAACCAACGTTTCTGTTTTTGTTTGTTACACTTTGATCTTTATTGTAGGACTGAGTTGAGATTTATAGAGAAACTTGTGAAAGTTACTGAAAATAAAGTAAACCATTCAATCCTGAGTGTTGCTCCTTACCTAATTGGTATGCATTTTCGGGTTAACAATATTTGCTTGTGGTTGCAACATAAAGCAGATGATGTTGGTATTTTGGGCATTTGTGGTATGGGTGGTATAGGGAAGACAACAATCGCCAAATATGCATTTAACTCTAACTTTGAAAGTTTTGAAAGAAGCAGCTTCCTCTACAATGTTAGAGATTTTTCCGAGTCTACGGATGGACTAATTTATCTGCAGAAACAATTTCTTTCTGATATTCTTGATGGGAGGAAGATTGACATTCAGAGTGTTGAAGATGGAATCAATCAGATCAAAAGTGCTGTTTATGGTAAGAGGGTTCTTATTGTGCTGGATGATGTTGATGAAGTGGACCAATTAGCCGCTATTACTGGAATGCGAGATTGCTTTTATTCAGGTAGTAAAATTATAGTGACAACTAGGCACATAGAGTTACTAAGGGCTTGTGAAATTGAATTGATTGATCATGTTCAGAAACTGAGCATAGGCGAATCTATTGAACTATTTAGTTGGCATGCATTCGGACAAGACCATCCAGTTGAGAATTACACCAAGTTCTTGAGAAGGATTATAGAATATTGTATTGGATGTCCTCTAGCTTTACAAGTTTTGGGTTCTTCTCTCTTTGGTAAAAGTTTAGCTGTATGGGAAAGTACACTGAAGAAACTAGAGGCAATTCCTAATAGTAAAGTATCAAAGAAACTGCAAATTAGTTTTGAGTTTATACAAGATGATCATGACAAAAGCCTATTCCTTGACATTGCCTGCTTCTTTCTTGGAAAGAATGTAGACCACGTTGTCACTATACTTGATGCATGTGGATATTATTCAATGGTTGGGATTCAGAATCTCCAAGATAGATTCTTGTTGATAATTGATGAATATGGAAAACTGAGGATGCATCCATTAGTTAGAGATATGGGACGAGAAATTATACGCCAAGAATCACCTAAGCATCCTGAAAGACGGAGTAGGTTGTGGCATTTCAAGGACTCATTTAATGTTCTGAAAGAAAAAATTGTAAGATTCATTATTTTTGCTGTTACATTTACTTTCGCAAATCTAGTTTTATGTTATATCTATTAGTAATCTTTTCATCAGGGTTCAGATATGATTCAAGGCCTGAACGCTAGGTCTTGTGCACACAAAGATAAGCCACCAAGATTCTTTTATCATCCAACTGCAGATGAGTACTTGCAGGAATGTGCCTACCTAATGGGGAGGAAAAAGCTGTCAAGCCAAAATAATCCATCAAGGCAACCACAACCTCGTAAAGTTCTTATTTATGGTTCCTCGATAGAATCACTTGGCAAATCAAAGAAGGTGGACAGCGTCAACACTGATGCATTTTTTGGTATGCACAAATTAAAACTGCTGCAACTTGACAATTTAGCAGTTAAAGGAAATTACAAGGAGTTCCCAAGGTCATTGAGGTGGTTGTGTTGGCACAAATTTCCATATAAATGTTTACCTGATGGCTTACCTTTGGAGAAACTGGTGGTTCTGGAAATGCGCTACAGTAGGTTGCATCATCTTTTTGAAAGAAACAAGGTAAATATGGCCCTCTCTCTTAAGCTTTAATTTTCTACAACCAAAATATATATTACAAACTACACAATGTATATTCCCTCTGCCTTGAAAACTTGTTCCTTGCACAAGTCTTTTATATAATATCCCCTTGTTTTTATAGATATTAAATTTTAAGATTGATAGGTCAGTCAGATTATGAATTTTTTTGTTTTTGTTTTACAGGTTCTCAGTGCATTAAAGATTCTGAATTTGAGTCATTCAGAAGGTCTGTCCTACACCCCTGACTTCTCAAAGCTCCCAAATCTTGAGAGGATAATTCTCAAGTACTGCACTAGGTTGACTCAGATTGATAAATCGATTGGGGGACTAAAGAGACTCCTCATTTTGAACCTGAGAGGCTGCCAAAGTCTACGGAAACTTCCCAGATGTATTATTGATGTCCATTCCCTCGAGAAGCTTATTCTGTATGGTTGCTCAAAATTTGTATGGTCTTCATTAGAGCTGGGTAAGATGCATTCATTGCTAGAGCTTGATGCCGGTGGAACTGCTATCCATCAAGTTTCCACTTCTGTGTGTAAGAAGCATTTACTGAGTTTAGCTCTGTGCACTTCAGTCTCAAGCCCGAGAAAATCTCCTGGAATTGTTAACCTGTTAACTACAGTATCTCAGACATTAGTAACCTTAAGTCTTATTGGATGTGGTTTATCATGTGATTTGATTCCAGTGGAGATTGGTGATTTCTCCACACTGCAGAACTTGTTTTTAAGTAAGAATCCAATTCACAGCTTACCAGATAGCATCAAGAGGCTTACCAATCTCCAGGTACTTGAGTTAGATAAATGCGAAGAACTTAAGTATCTTCCAAAGATCCCAGCCAGTGTCACAACCTTGAGCATCCACGGATGCAGGTCACTCGAGCGGTTATCAAATTTACCAAACATATTGACAACATTGGATTTTCTTGCATTAAGATGCAACAAACTAATTGAGGTTCAGGAAATGTTCCAGCTAAAATGCATTTCTTTATTTGATGCTGATTTAATCAGCATTCTGGGATTACCCAACTTGAGTGAAACTAAGGTGGATCTGTACAACAACCTGACTCTTACAAGATGGAAATGTCCTATACAGGTTTGCTCCCTAATATAACCCCCTCTCCTACTAGTCCCCATTTGTATGAGTTTCTTGCTCCTATCACACTAATAGGGGAAGCAAGATATATATAAATGATGTACATTTGTGATTAATATGCAGGGCCTCTATGAATTTGGCATATTCAGTACTTCTGTCCATGGAAGTGAGCTTCCAGACTGGTTAAGCTACAATGCTAAAGGGTCGTCCTCAATCAGTTTTGATGTGCCTAATCATGACATTCAGGGTTTAAACTTATATGTTATCTATGGAAACGCCAGCATATCTTATTGTACAAGGAGAAATAAATTTTGGAATGAGTTTCATGTTAGAATGGTAAATAAGACCAAGGATCTGAGATGGACATACAGTCCAATAATTCATGGTATTCCAGATAATGATGAAGATCTCACATGGCTATGCCATTGGGAAATAGGAGATAACTTGGATCCTGGAGACTCTATCAGCATTTCAATGACTCTATATTCTGGTGTTCAATTGAAGGAATTTGGCGTTCACATTGTGTATAAGCAGAATAAGAACAATTTGAGATGTAACACATCATCTCCTCCTGCACACCATCTCATTAATGGGGTGGATAACTCTGCATATCAGGTTCAAGGCTCCTACTTCCTCTGTCATCATGACTTTGATATTCAGCAAAAATATTTCACTGATGGCTGGAATTCGACGGGCTGGTATGACTTCTTCTTTGGTGATAATTCTGATCAAGATTTTCCCGAGGAAATGGTTCCCCGTCACATTGCAGATATGACCAGTGAGAATGTCTATGGACTTGTATCTGGAGTGGAGGATGATTAAACATGGCGATTGCCATGATGCTGGATTGCTGGTGTGGAGCGCTAAGGTTTTCTAAATCATATGATATGATCCAGTACCATTCATTATTTTTATGCAAAGGGAAAGAGGTGAAAATTTAGATAGTCAACCAATTGAGGCTACGTACTATGATTTCCTGCCATTCATTATATATTGTCAATATGAGACTATGAAAGAGTGCAGGTTTCCAAATGTTCCATCTTTTTCTCCATAGGCTTCATTATACCATCTCTGTAAAACACTAATATGCTTGTTGCTTAGTTAAAGGTAAGGCTGGCAACGGAACCGGGAGGTGCCGGTACCGGTTCCGGTTCGTTCCGGTCCGTTACCGGTTCCGTCTCGGTTCCGGATAGTACCGGTCAGATCCGGTATTATACCGGTCCGGAAGGGGTAACGGGACGGAAACCGGAATTTACCGGTTAGTCCCGGTCCGGTTAGTCCCGGTTCCGTCCCGGTCCGGTCCGGTTCCGTCCCGGTCCGGTCCGGTTCCGTCCCGGTCCGGTCCGGTTCCGTCCCGGTCCGGTCCGGTTCCGTCCCGGTCCGGTCCGGTTCCGTCCCGGTCCGGTCCGGTTCCGTCCCGGTCCGGTCCGGTTCCGTCCCGGTCCGGTCCGGTTCCGTCCCGGTCCGGTCCGGTTCCGTCCCGGTCCGGTCCGGTTCCGTCCCGGTCCGGTCCGGTTCCGTCCCGGTCCGGTCCGGTTCCG